TAGGGAAGCCAAGACACAGGGCAGAGCCGTGTTGGGCATGCTGGCTTTTCTGAGTGGCAAGCGATAGTCCAGCCTACAGAAAGGGGGCCACAAGGGACTGAGTAGACTTTATAAGCAGAACTCACATTTGGGGCTGCCAGAATGTCATCCCCAACATAGGAAGAAGAAGTCTGCCCTCCAGCCAGACTTAGTTTCTAGAATGTGTGAGGTCAGGTGTCTTGTGGGAAGGGCAAAGGAAGTCAAACCTAAGTTAGGGACAGAGACAGGCCTTGCTCCCCATTGATTTCTATAGGGCTGTCCAAGTCTGCCCTTTCCTCATCCAAATTTGGGGTGTCTGGTTGCCGTTCTTGCTCCTGGAGCCAGGCAAAGTGCACTCTCATTTCCATGACTTCTGAGCCCAAGAGCCTTATTTCCTTCCCTGGGCCGGCTTCCCTGTCTCGGCCCTGCAGGAGTCTCTCTTCCCGGCCCGTGTGGTCTACGACCTCCTGTTCTTCTTCATCGTCATCATCATCGTGCTGAATCTCATCTTTGGGGTGATCATTGACACCTTCGCTGACCTGCGCAGCGAGAAGCAGAAGAAGGAGGAGATTCTTAAGACAACGTGCTTCATCTGCGGTGAGGCCACGGTGGGCCTCGGGTGACCTGTGGGTGGGTGTCACCTGAGGCAGCCTCAGTGTGGCTCTTGGGAACCTTCCTGGAATTGGGGAGAACAAGACTTGCTTGAGCTTGGAGTCATAGAAGGGCATGGGGAGGGGTCTCAGAAACCATTCCTCTAGCCCCTCTGCCTGCAGAGTGGGACCCTGAAGCCGAATGGGTGGTCTCACCCTCCTGAGCTCAGGACAGTGTTGTTCCCACCCTTAATGTGAAGTTCGCGCTCCCTCACCAGCCACTTTGGCTAACGAGCTGGTGTCACTTGTAGCAGAGACCCCTCACCCCTGCTCCCCTGGGGTGGGAGTTCTGGCGTTTGCTCCCATAGCCCTCGGTTGTCTCTGCGGGCAGCCTGCAGCTGTGGCAGGGCAGGATCTCCAAGGCTAAGTGGCTGGTGCTGTAAATAGCAGTGACCCAAATAGCCCCAGTGGGCTGTCGGAAGTGCTCATCAGCCCTCTTCACATGAGGGGAGCATGTGCCCATCCCCCGCCCTGCAACAAGAGGCTCCCAGATGGCCCCACCATGGCTCTCTCTGCCCCAGCGCCTTCAGCCTCCACCTCTGCACCCTCAGGTCTGGAGAGGGACAAGTTTGATAACAAGACGGTGTCGTTTGAAGAGCACATTAAGTTCGAGCACAACATGTGGAACTACCTGTACTTCATCGTGCTGGTCCGTGTGAAGAACAAGACGGACTACACAGGCCCTGAGAGCTATGTGGCCCAGATGATTAAGGTATGAACTGGAGCTCTCCCTGGGGAACCAAACCAAGCGCTTCTGGAATCACAGTTGCAACTGCACCAGAAACCTTGGTGGCTAGGGTTTCGTGTCCTCTAGGCCTGGAGAGGAGTGGCCACATCTTTCTGCATGACTGACCCCGTGGCAGGGAGGAGGAGAGGGCACAGACAGCTGTAGACACTTGCTGAGAGGCCAGTAGGGGAGCAGCTGGAGCCAGCCCTCTACTCCTGGGAGCCCTGCCAGCTGCCCATTGCTTTGAGGGACCTCCCAGCTCTTCTGAGACAGCTTTGGTGGCAGGAAAAGCCCATGCAAACCTATCAGCCTGAAACAATGTGTGGTGCCCTCAGGCCTGTGGGAGCAAGGGAGACCTTGCATGAGACCGATGTCTGTGGGTCAGCTCTGTGGAAAGAAGGGCAGTTTCCCCAAAGTCTGGATGGTCCCAGGCTAAGATGCAGCCTGGGAAAACTTAAGAAATATTATCAGACTTAGTTGGAGTTCAGGATCAATTCCTACAATAATGAAGGTAGTGAATGATGATTAAAAAGCAAAGTTTGGTTTCTGTCTTTTAGGTCTTTATTTTGAACTGGTCTCTGGGTCCTGGTGTTATCTGTTGGCCTGAGAAAGTTCTAGGTGACCCCTTGCTTCCTGCTTTTCCCTGCCCTGGGAAATGGTGTCTTGGTTTCAGACAGGTGCCTGCCAGCTTCCTCGGTCTCCTCTCGGCCCTCACTGTCATCTGTCTGACTCGACTCTTCCTGGGTGTGGGGGGAGTATGTTAGGGCAGGGCATGGAGTGACGAGGGAGGAAGACGATTCAGGGCCTGGCCTCAGAGGCCTTGCCTTCAGCCTCTCTAGAGGCATTGAGAATAAACAGATGGTGCCAACAAGCATGAGGTGGTCTAACAGAAACCAGCTTCACAGCTGCTGCCCTTCACAGCCACAAGTCTTTGCTGCTATGCCAATTTACCCTTGTCTAGAAGACCAGGGTCAGCTCAGACTTTCCCATGACACATCCTGGCAAGTTCTGCCCAGGGTGTGGTGGCCACCTCCCCTATGCTGCCATGTTACTTGCTGGGTCTACCTACTCAACCCACCAGTGCTGTTTTTCAGAACAAGAACCTGGACTGGTTCCCTCGAATGCGGGCCATGTCCCTGGTGAGCAACGAGGGGGAGGGAGAGCAAAATGAGATCCGGATCCTTCAGGACAAGCTGAGCTCCACCATGAAGCTGGTGTCCCACCTCACTGCCCAGCTGAATGAACTCAAGGAGCAGGTGCAGCCCCACCCCACCCTGTCTGTTCTCAAGGTTCCATGCCGGGCAGCCTTAGACCTCACTGAAGTCATAGCCCTGCTTGCCTCATGGGTTGGAGAGGAGCTGGTGCCATCATGTCCCAGCCCCAGCCCCCATTCATCCTGTTGCCCCTAGTTCTTGGGCCTGGGATGTGAAGGCAGCCTTCAAACACTCCACTCTGGAAAGCTAGACCTGGGCTGGCAGCCCTTGTCCAAGTCTCCAAGACTTGTGTGTGGCGGTATACCCCTTGCTTGGTTCCCTCATTCCTGGCCACTGCTAATGATACCCTCCAGGGGTCACTGATGGGTACGAGTGATGTTTAGGCCTCCAGTCCCCCGCTGCCCAGTCAGCTCCTCTCCACTTGGCAGTTACTAAATGAGGGTTAGATAGCCTCTCTCAGGTGGGTGGGTTCCCAACTACATCCAATTGGGGCTTGTGACAGGCTAATTGAGGACATGGGTGTGGGGGCTGGCATCCTCTTGGCATCCTGAGGGGCCCTGGCCTGCTGCCAGGACTGAGCAGCAGCTGGGCCCACTGGGGGGTGGGAGGGAGGAAGCAGTCCCTGCAGAGCAGGGCGCCAGGCTGTCTGACCACACCTGTTGGCATGTTTAACCCTAGATGACAGAGCAACGGAAACGCAGGCAACGCCTAGGCTTTGTGGACGTCCAGAACTGCATGAGCCGCTGAGGAGAGCCCCCAGAGGCCCACAGGGAATGCTCGTCACTGCAGAAATGAGTGGGAACACTGTTCTTCCCTCACGTAGGGGGCCCAGCTGGCTAGGTGCCCGCCAACTTCCAGCTCCCATTCTGCCAGACACTCCCCTAATCTAAAAAACCAAGGCTCTGATCAGCTTTGGGGGAGGGATGGTAGAGCTCTTGATGAGGCTCAGAGCTTTACTAGGACTCAGTTTACCTTAGTGCCTTAGACAATAAGTCCTGGAGACCTTTGTCTTTTAAAGCAATCACTGATGTTCCTTTGTAGTTCTCCCTGTGGGTGATGTGGAGTGGGGTCACCTCTTTATCTACAAGCACTACATTTTGGTTGCTACCTGTCTCTCGGGGGAGGTAGCAGTAATGCTGTTACTAGTGATTTTAGGGCTTTTTTATTTAACTTATTCTGAGGGTGCTGTTCCCAGCCCTGCCCACCCACCCGTCTCCCTCTATGCCTCATCTGCTGTGGACCTCATTGGCCCCAGCCACCCCATCTGGCCCCAAGTGGAACGCTGGCCTAAAGACAGAGGGCCTTGCTCCTGGCTCTTCTCCTGCAGTCCCGTGCCACGGTCACAAGGCTGGATGTGTTGGAGCAGCATTTTTTTGTTTTTTGCTTGTTTCTTCTTTTGGTGTAATGTTTTACAAATCCTTTGGCCTGAGAACTAATACGTTAATTGCCTTAAATAAATTAATAGAACTTTAGTTCATTAAAGAGATAATATTGCCTGAAGTGCCCCCCACCCCCAGGTGTGGGGATTAACAAAGAATATGGACACAGGATGCGAATACAAACTCTTCCCCACAGGATATCCCTCAATACCTGGGAGGGCAATCACACAGGGATTCCTGGATACAACTGCATTTCAGTGAAACTGGTTTCCATTGTAATCTTGTGTGTTTTATTTGATGCATTAGAAAAAACATTTGGAAACATCTGGGACACAAAATTAAGAACCCACTTCTTCCCACTTGTCACCACTGAGGGGTGCTGTCCACTCTGCCCAGGCCCTGCCCTTAGCTTGATTTAGACCAAAGAGAGCTCAAGTAGGGATTGTGAAGGTTCACCTGGAGCCAAAGCTCCATGGAATAACTGTGATCCATGCGTGTGTCTGAGGCTCTCCCCAGAATCTGCTCTCAGTGCTGAAGCCAACTGTAACCTGAAGCCCTGCCTGGCCAGGCCTCTTTAGGGCTTCACTGGGTCCCTTAGGCCAACTTGGAACATAGATTTCTGCAAGCTATCACCTCCAAGTTAGTGGGGCTCAAGTCCAAGCAGGCTTTTCCATCTTTCTATGCTGCCACCTCCCCACTTGCAACAGGATGTCTTTTTCAATATTTACCACTACTTTTGGCTTCCTCCCAGAAGCTCCCACAACAAAGGGAGCCTGAGAATCTTGCCATGAGATGCCAGACTGCTGCTAGTGAGGTAGCTGTGCAGGAAGCCCCTTGTCCAGACTTTCAGGCCCAGATAGAGACGTTTCCTCTCTCCAAGGAGACTTCCCTACCCTGACTGAGGGCCCTGCTGACAGCTTCCACAGCATCCCTGCTCAGGCTGAAACTTTCTTTAGAGCAACAAGGCTTCCTTTTTTGAAGGCCAGATGACATTCTCAAACCGTGAGGTTGGGGGGAAGCCAGGGTGGTTTTATTTAGGATGACAACATACAAGACCACACAGTTATGTACGCGGGCGAGATAAGGACTGAATCCAGGACTTAGGCTTCTCTTCGGGACTCTTGGGGGCAAACTTCTCCTGTAGCTTCTTCCACATGCCTTTATTCATTTCCTTTAACTCTTCCAAGGTGTCTAGAAAAGGTGAAAGACCGAAAAAATAAAGAGAACTGATGTTTAAAACTTGATTATGTGAATTGACCTCATGGGGTTTTCCTGATAGAAGCATGTCTCACTTTACACACAGTGTGCTTTTGAAAAATAGAAGTGTAAACTAAACTTTTGAACAGCAAATCAAATAAGCTAATAGAAAAATAACCACTGCTGACATTCACTGAACACTGTTTACAGGGCCCCACTTAAGTACACTGCACACCCACAGTGGTTTCATTGCCCTCTTCTGACCCTCAGCAACTAAACAGGGTGTGTTTCTTCTTGCAGCCACATAAGAGGGCCAAGAAGGAGAGTGCAAAGGAATGACCCTACCACTGCCATATTCCGCCCCCAGGCTGTATCTTAAAGCCTGGCCTGCCCCACATAGACACTACTACCCCATTTTCAGATGAGAAAACTGAGGCAGAAGGAGATTAAGTAACTTGCTTAGGGTCACAAAGCTAAGAAGTAGAGGCTCTCAGATTTGAACCTCCACCATATGCTGTGGATTGCAGCAGATGTCAGTGAGGGTGACGGATCTAGGCTTGAATCCTTGCCCCCATCATTTTCCCAATGAGCCACTCCAGCAAGAGACAACCCTCTGAGCCTTCGGTTCCTCCTGCGTAAAATGGGGATAAACACTTCAGAAGTGAGGATTAAAAACTAAGGCCATGTATCTGGCACCTGTCGTCACTGCTAAGAAGGCAGGAGGGAGTTGGCTATAGCCAGGACAAGGTTTTTTGTTTAGAAAAGCACACATGCACACAAGATGGTTTCTTAGCCTTGACACTATGGACACCCTTTGTTGTGGGGGACTCTGGATTGTAGGATATTTAGCAGCACCATGGCCTCTAGCTACTAGATCCCCTGTCCCCAGTTATGACAGCCAAATATGTCTCCAGGCATTGTCCCATGTCTCTTAAGGGCACAAATCTCATCTCCCCTGTTAAGAATCTGAGGTCTGAAGACTTCTCTAGGGTTAAAGTTCCATGATACCTAATTTCCTCTGTCTTTTAAATATTGATTCACATATATATTGCTTTGCTTTCATAGCTGGGATTTCAGTCAAACTTTCAGAGAAAAAGAACACTTAAAAAGAAAAGAAAAGAAAAGGTAATGTCCATTATTTACTAACAGTGTTACTCATCAATGGTCTTGGCGGACTGCTGTACCTCAGCCAACAGTCCAACTTCCTAATGTGGTCTCTTCTAGAAATCTTGGGTTTCCTTGTGGAGCACAAAATATGACGTGGGACTTCATTTCCACTTAACAAGCTATGAGGCCTCTGGTAATCTCCCATGCCTCTAAGCCCAGGTGGTACATTCACTGCAGACGTGCCAGGCCTTGAGATCCTCTCACTACCGGGGCTGACAGGGCTTTTTGTGCCCTGGAAGAGCAAAGTTTCAGTAAGCTTAGTCCACACAGGGGCAGCAAAAATACAAGGCTTGCTGTGAAAACAAATTATCAGCGTATTTCCAGGAGCTGAACTCCCAGGCAGAACAAGCTACAGCAAGGGCCAGAGGTGGGGAATCATGGACCTCCCACCCCTTCTCGATGAGGGGTGACAAACAAGGGGCTGGGTCTCCAGAGCTTATCTCCATTAGCTGCATGTTAAAACTAATCCCACACTCTCCTGGACCCTCGCTGCAGCACCGTGCTTGTATTACATGGGCCCAGGAACATGGGAGTCAGCTTCTATGTTTTTCAAAAAGAACTGACAATAAAGCAATTCAATTATGCCTGACCAAAATAACCTCACCCTAGTTTTCCAGAGAGCACTGTTATAAAAATAGGGTCACTGTCGACACACAGTAGCAGGTGACATCACCAGGCTTTGATCTGCTCAGACGGAAAGAGTTTCTGGAAGGCCAAAGTCACAAAACTTAGTTGCTGAACGCTGCCAGAAGACCAGGAAAGAGGCATTTCTAGAGCACCACAAGATTCTGTGCCCTCTCGGAAAGGGTAACCTATTTTTATAACAATACCCTTAGCAATAAAAAGAGTAATTTTCCAGAACCTGTGTACTTCAACCCTCCCTGCCATCCCCTTGAGTGACAATGGAGATGGGGCAGGAAGGAGGAGATGGGTTTGGCAGTGTCCCCTTTCTTGTTAATCAGGGTTTACCAACGATTCCCAACATACCTAGCTAAATCCATATCTAACCCATAGACCATGTCCCCTGGGTCTGATAACTCTTAGACGGATATCCCCATACACGATTATTGAATGCCTTTTTTGTTTTAATTAAAACCCTCATTGTTTATAAAGCCCCCTTAGGACCATAAAAATAAAATTATTTTCCTTCCATCCTGATTTCAACTACTTCCATTTGGCAAATATGTATTCCCCTGTCCTTTGCTGCCCAGCTTTGAATTTAAAAGCACTAAAGATGGATTTTCTTTTTAAAATAATGTCTTTGACCTTCTTCACATTCTCTGGGCAACAGGCAAGGGCCCTATAGCTTCAGAATTTCCTCTGGGCTATTCCACAAGACTTTTCATCAAAGTAAATATTAGGATATTAGACAATTCCCCTTTCACAAACCAACCAGAAAGGGCATCTGGGCCTTCAATACCTGTGGACAGGATGAGCTTGTACTCTTGCAAGGACAGGCCACTGAAGCTCGTGTCTCTGGGGCGAGGGTACTGGTCACACAGTGGGGAAGAGCGTGGGAGGGGGGTGTTGGGCGAGGGGAAGAGATTAAGAAGAGATGATTAGTGCAGCACATGGCTTTGAATCAGTTCATTCTGCTTCCACATCACTGCTGAAAAATTTGGGTTGGCACTTCAGAAATAATAAATCAGAATCAGCATTTTAACAAGATCCCCCAGTGATTCTTACTAATCCCCCAAACTCCAAACTCACTGCGATCAGGTTGATTCTGACTCATAGTGACACTGTATAGGGTTTCCAAGGCTGTCAATCTTTATAGGAGTAGAAAGCCTCACCTTTCTCCTGAGGAGTGGCTGGTGGGTTTGAACTGTCAACTATGCACTTAGCAGTCCAGAGCTTATCCTACAGCACCATAAGACCTCCTTACTAGATCCCCAGGTGGTGTATAAGGAAAATTCTCAGCAAGGGGTTGAGCCAGAATAAACCAGCTCCAAGCCCTGGTTTGGCAGCATGACCCTCAGACCTGTCTCTCACTGCAGTTCACTGGGCCTTCTTGCCACACACACCCCCACCCCCTACCAATGTGGGCTTCCAATCCCAGGGGGTGTGGCAAGAAGAGTGGCACCATGTTGAGAACAAAGAAGGCCTCCCAAGAACCAGTTCTGGAGATTTACCTTTAATGAGCAATCAGGTCCCAATTCAGCAGGGCCAGGAATCTGTATTTTTAACTAGCACTCAGGAGATGCCCACAATGCTGGTCTGCAAACCACACTTGAGTAATAAGGGTTTCCAAGAAATCCCTTTTCCATGCAGGCTAGACATTCTGCTATTTGTGAAGTTACTGAGTACATTTTTCAAGTTGGGTGAAACCTCACTAAATAGGAATGTGACAGTAACCCATCAAGGCCTGAGGAAAAGCCCAGCCGGGCCTTCCCCAACCACTCCATCTTTATCACCTGAGCGTGGGAGACTCCACTTAAAATATGTAAACAGTCCTAGAGTTGTCAGTTACTTTCAGAAACACACACTAGCATATAAAATACATTGCTTTTATTCATCATTATAAATAGCTTTTACTTAGGTTATCTAAAAGCCACCAGGCACCTTTATTGGCTTGGCTGAAATTACTAGTTGCATTAGAATGTAACAAAATCATTATTCTTTACAAAACACTGAATGATCAAATTTCACTTATTCTTATTGGTTGTCCCAGTCAGAGGGCTGAGGGTGTAAAAGATGTAAAAAATAAGGGCCCACTCACCTTGTGCTTGTAATAGTTAGAATGGAGTCTTGCTAAACTCTCGTACATCTGATCACAGGCCTCAGGCTCTGCAATCTGTAAAAAACAAAGAACCCCAAGGATGTGAGCAAACAAGCCTGAACCAGGCCCCCTGCTCCTTGTGCATTGGAGGAGGGAACAGAAATTCAATGGTGCATTCATGGGAGGCAGGCCTGCAGTGAGCACTCCTAGGCTCTACTCTGTGGGAAGCAAGTTTTGGCCTAAGGCTTCTGCTATTAGAAATCCCCTCTTTGAAGTAATAGCCATCCTCATTAGCTCTCCAACCTGCTGACAAACTCCATTAACCAACCAACCAACAAACATCTGCGAAGCACCTGTCACTTGTGACCCACCAGGCCCACCAGCTGCCTTTGGAGACCCTACAATAAAAATATAACATTGAAGGGCCTACCTCATACTTGAAGAAGCTGTGGAGGCAGTGTGGGTTTTGCGTTGGGCTGCTAACCGCAAGGTCAGCTGAGTCCACTAGAAGCTCTGTGGGAGAAAGATGAGGCTTTCGGTTTCCATAAAGGTTTTATAGCCTCAGAAAGCCTATACAGGGTCACTATGAGTCAGAACAGACTCCATGGCACATCACCACCACCACCTCATTCTTGGAGAGTGCTGGAGTCGGTAGGCTGTAAGAATTCAGAGGGGCGTCCCTAGGTGTTCAAGTGGTGAGTGCATGAAGGAAGAGACTAAGCCGGGATCTTAAAGAACCCTAGGGCTTCTAGGCAGAGGGGGTGGTGGGAGGCAGGATGCTCTGCTCTGCTGCAGACCAGACCAGTCTGGCTGAAGGCCTGGATACCCACAGAGGAAGAGCCTGGGCTGGAGAAAAAGAAAGCTTTTTGAGTTAGGCCTTCAAAAATGAGATGTATTAAAGAAAGATTCTTTTATGACGGTTAAAAAAAATCTGAGCTTTTATCTGTGGGAAGTAGGGAGCTGTTGAGCTTTTACAAGAAGAAAAGAAAAAAAGAAAGTGGTGTTTTAAGATGAAATAGGTGAACTAAGGAGAACCAAGACAGAGATGCCAGTCAGGTTTGGTTAGAAGGGGTGAGGCCCAGAACAGCAAGGTGGAGGTCTTGAGAAAACAAAGGGGAAGGGGGGAACAATACTTTGGGTGCCCCTACTGGAAACTCCAGGGAAGACACACCTATAGGGAAATGGCTTTTTCCCTGTCATATTCTCCTCCTTTTGAATTTCCCCTCCCTCTGCCCTTGCTATTTATCTATAGTTCCCGACAGTATTCTGCCAAGAAAAAATTTGCAAGCCACCCAGAACAAAACTTGCTCTTTTATGTTTTCTCCTGAATTCAAATGATGGATTTTTCCAACTTAAACCCTTTCTCGAAGAAGGCAGAGCATAAAGCATAAATAAATCAGTAGTTAAGCGTTTTAATAGGCAGCTCTGCTTCTGCCTGTGTATGTGTGTCAATGAGGTCCCCACTTTACAGCAAACAAAAAAGACGAGCTCCACTTGATATGTGGCTGGGTTCGGTCCACTCATCCTGAGAATGCCCAGGTGGCCACATCAGAGGGGAAAGGATTATGGGCTGAAGGGGTAGCCATTGTTCACTGAGTAATAACCATCATGGACTGGGGCTAAGGACTCACAAGAAAGAAAAGAACGGATGGAAAATGTGAGGCTTGCCAGTGGAGTTCTGACTCCGCAAGGGTCAGCTCTTTTCAGGGAATGTCTGGCTGGAATCGAGTTTGCGGCACACATGGTATTTGAACACAAATTCTTCAGCAGGGCATGCCTAACCAAGAACTAACAAGTAAGAGAACAGAATGCACTAACACAAAGGGAAAGGGAACGATGCAGCACCAAGTTCACAAGAATATTATCTAGATTTCAAAAGACGGTTGCACATTTCATCTTTGACTTGTTCTCTGTGTAAGTGTGCAGATATGTGATTATAACTTTAAAAGACATTTACTGATGAATCTCCTGCATTGGTGAGAAAGTAAAATGGTAGAGCAACTAAGGAAAATAACATGGTGGCTCCTCATGAATTACTCTGCTATCCAGCAACCCCACTCCTAGGTGGGACCCAATGTTTCCCAATGTTCACTGCAACATTATGTACAAGTGCCAAAGGTGAGAACAACAGATGACTGGATGAATAAAAGCTCTATCCACACAAAGAATATGATGCAGCCACAAAGAGAAATGAAATTCTGATACATGCTATGACATGGAGGAGCCTTGAAACATTATGTATGCTGAATGAAAGAAGTCAAGACACAAAAGAACAAACATTGCATGATCCCATATGCTCTTTAGAAGCAAGGACGATGAGATTTTGTGTCATGCACTCTGGACATGTTATCAGGAGGGACTAGTCCCTGGAGAAGGACATCATGCTATGTAAAGTGGAGGGTCAGTGACTAAGAGGAGGCCTCTAAATGAGAAAGACTGGCTCCAATCTAGTAAGGTTGTGAGGGTGGTGCAGGACTGACCTGACAGTCCTAACAACAGGACAGGAACATTTACAGAATGAAGACTAGGTTACCAAGGGCTGGAGGAGGGGAGATGGGAACTTACTGTTTACACCTTCTGTTTGGGGTGATAAAGACGTACTACAAGTGATTAGGTGTGGTGATGGCTACACAACATTGTGAATGCACTAAATGCCACTAATTTACACTCTAAATGTTAACATGATTCATTTATATTATATATGTTTTACTACCAGAAACAAAAACAAAAGGTATCCATTGAGACTTGCATGTGCTGTGCCCTATGTACAAGCCGGGGACACTGAAGGATAAGCACCTCCATGGAGTCAGACTGCCAGAGTTTGAGTCTTGACACCATCACTGATAGCCAAGGGATGTTGGGCAAATGACTTGATCTCCCTCTACTTTGCTTATTTTTGTAAAAAATATGTTTCACACAACATTTGCCAATTCCACATATTGTACATGTGTTGACACCAATACCAATTACATTAATCATGTGCAACCATCACCAATACTGTAGCCAAGTGTTACATCACCATAAAGTCAATACCTCCTAACTCGCCCCTTTGTAAAAAACATTTGACCACATTTGCTTTAGCATTCTGTTGTTGTTAAGTGCCATCAAGTCAGTATCATTCTCTTGCTCTGTCTCGATATACATATTTTTCTAATCAATTTGATATTAAGATGGAACGTAATACCCTCCCATCCCATAATTATTTCCATGCATATTTCTTAAGGACAAGAACATTCTCTTATACAACTACAGTTCAATGATCAAATTCTGGACATTTAACACCAATACTAGCTAATCCACCATCTGAATACCAATTCTGTCAATTGTGTCAGTAGTAATCTTTATAGAAAACAATTCATCCAACATCACCCGCTGCATTTAATTGTCATGTGTCTTTAGTCTCCTATAATCTCAAACTGTTCCTCTTTGGCTTTTTTGTCTTTCATGCATTGACATATTTGAAGAGTACCGGTCAACTTCACTTTCATTTAAAAGAGAAGATTTGAAGAGTCCCGAATTCTGAGGATAGAAGAGGTAGTGACTGACTGCTTTGAATTCCTGGTCTGGCACAGTACCGAGAAGTGTGAATGATTAGTTTTTGATACAATTAGTAGTAGTAGTAATAGTCACAGTAGTAAACATAGGCCCAACTTTCTAGTTCACAAATTAATAGGGGACAGAGTCAGGAGAACAGGTCATGACCATGCCGGTGTTAAGTGCAATGAAGGAGGTGTGTCCAGGGTGCCATGGGCTGGTGGAGGTGGGCATCTGACCCTATCTGGGGAGCCAGGGAAGAACTGCTGGATGGAGAAACACAAGAAGGAAGTGGTGGTGGTGGTGGGGAGCAGCACTCCAGGCATAAAGACCAGCTTTAAGGCACAAGAGCCGCGGGCCCAGTGAATGGTGGTTAGGCCATTATCAGTGGATCAGTGTTGCTGGCATGTCCTGACTAGACTCCTGTGTCTGTCCCTCCTGGCTCTCATCCATCACTGAGTGCTCATGATCAGCTGAGCAGGGCTTGGTGAGCAGCCCCTGGTGAAACAACACAGCCAGGCAGCAGACAAGCAGGTGTCTACTACACTGTTTTTAACTTAATGACCACTTGCCTGTCACCTGGACCTTTCCTTCCCACCACCACTCCCTTCTTTTTTTTCCAGTCAAATCCTGAAGAAAGGAGTTCGTGCCACCTTTCTACCAGGCTCCCCACACTGCGGTCAGACTACCACCACAGCACTTGGGAAAGTATGCCAAGACTGCCTCCCATCGAACCCACAGCTCTTACCATCAGAAATCTTGCCAAAGTCCCCCTCTTACATCTCCTTCAACTTCTCTAACTGGGAATTTTCCAAAGGTCTGCCCAGTGAGAATTTACCACAACCTCAATTGGATGAGGAGGGTCATTCTGCCTTCACATTTTCCCCTATCTCTAACAGGGCAGTTGGGCAGAGAGGAGGGGCACAGAATCCAAGTACAGAAAACTGTAACCCTCTGGGTTCCTCTAACCTCTTAAAATTCTCCCTTTGTTAAAGAGACAGTCTCTTAGATATTTTGCATAATGCCTGTAGCTCAATTAATAATCTAAGATGAAGCAAAAACCTCTATGTGCTAAAAATGGGGTTGTCACCCAATTTTCCCATTTGATGCCAAGAAGATGTCCATATGTGGCTATAAACATAGGTCTGCCAATTTTCCAGCCAAGTTCTTCCTACCTAAGGACACCAGGTGTCACAGCCAGTTCTGGGTTCCTAATCACACCCAGGGGGCAGTGGTGGTTCCATGCAGCAGACCCAAGTTCAAGTCCCAGCCAATGCACTCATGTGCAGCCACCATCTTGTTAGTGGAGACTTGTGTGCTGCTATGGTGGTGAATAGATTTTAGTAGTGGTTCCAAATAAGACTAGGAATAAAGCTGTGGTGATTGATTTCCAAAGATCACAATGGTCAGATCCATTCAGCATTTCATCCCCTTGTGCATGAGGTGACTGTGAGTCTGGGGTCAACTAGATGGCAGTTAATAACAAGTCATATTCAACCTAAGCTCAGCAACTAAAGCATAGTCTTGTTCACTACTTAAAA